TATCCTTTTAATAATGGGCGTTAATTTTCCTATGTCGCATATGATAAGCAATAATTCTTGTAAATATATAATACATGGTCCTATCATTTTTTTTTCAAAAACAAAAATAAATAGCACAAGTTTCGATATATGTATAGGAATTGTAATATATTTTTCTGCAATAGAAGATGACGTTTTCCCTTTAATAATATTAGAACTTTTCATAGAAAAGTCCAAGATCAACTCGTGAGAAGATAGAAGTAGAAGTCTATTTCCCGAATGGTTAATGACGTATGTTGATGTGACGATAACTACGGAGGCAATGATATGGACCACAATTCTTAGGAATTATTGTATTAGCCTTAGGTGAGATGTATCGGGCTCAATTATGAATGTGATGGAGATTTGGCAGAATAACAATAAATTTAGGTGATGAAGAAGATGTCTCTTTTGATGAGGTGAGACCCTCTATTTATAGGATGTGGGCGATTTCCTCTTAGCATGAAAATTGTAATATCATAATCGTTTTCAGTCTTATGTGCCCACTATAACGTGAAGTTGTGTTACTCTTGATGTGAAAAAGGTTATGTGTGGATGAAAAGTGTAAGGGGACACGTGTATTGTGGAGCTATATGCTCAATACATAAAGTCTTTTAAGTTCTTGCCGGACCAATTTGGGTTAGTTATGTAGGACCATCCACTCGGCCAAGAACACAAAATTTATAGTTTTATGAAAGTTTTCTAGAACTCTTTCAATTGTCTTCCAATAATCATTACATGGATTACTTGTGAAACTTGAAAGTTCAAATACTGCAAAAAATATATCTAATCTTGTATAATGCACAATTCAGTATGCGTAGCATACTCAATTTGAGCAACTAAACGTCTACATTTTTCCTTTAGTACTTGTGAAGCATCATAGGGAATATATAATTCTTTAATTTTCAAGTGCTTGAACTTATTTAAAGTTTTCTCTACAATATTATATGTTTGATTTAAGGTAAAACGCGCACTATGTTTAATATCTACTTCTCCAAAATCCTTCATTTTGAACTTTGAACATAGATAATCTTTAATTTCATTAACATCGATGAATCATATTTGTTCTAAATATTAATATATCAACCATGTATAAACAAACAAACAAACAATGCATCATAATGTTTTGTGAATTTGCAATAAAAACACTTATAAGCATTATTATGCTTAAAAGCATGGGTAACGTTATATTTACAAACTTTTTGTTTACAAATTATCGGTCGTCAGACCGATAATATACTATTGAGTAGAGTATTATCGGTCATACATAGTATAGTTTGTAAGTTTGTAAACGGATCATTTTCCTAAAACCATAGGACATAATCATAAAAATAACTTTTCATGTCATTTTGGTGGTTGTTTCCTTGAAAGTTTACAAACTTTATTTTCATTAAAACAAAGGGGCAATATATATTTACCGGTCAGAAGTGATAAATTTAATTGGTGATAAGTGGATCGAGTTGGCTACCCCTGATATCCTCACAAGCTTCAGCTCTTTGAGCTAACTATAAGACTAATCTAGAGTGTGAAGCGAGTCAATGATAAAAATATTTAATCTCCTTCCAAAGATGACATGTGGGGATTAAACTGAAATCTTTTTCTTTTTATTACTCAACTCTCCTACTGAGTTACCATAATTATATTTGGTACCTTCCAATTATTTTGTATAACCTTCTTCTTCGTCAATCGCACAATTTACATTTAAATGAAATATGTCACGGAAAACGATATTGCTCGGGTATCATATAAAAAGTGATAATTCTTACAAAAACGGTATAAATGTCAAAGAAAAAATTAATAATTATAATAATAAATTTTAATTAATAAAATATTAAAAACTGATTCTATTAAGATTTTATATTTTTCATAAAATACATGAATTTGAACCGAAAGGTATATGCTTGAAACGTGAGTCAAACACTATGTTTATGACAGCTTTTGCTTTTATATTTGAATGCAATATTACTATAAATCATCTTTTGTAATAATCCAAGCGCCTTGGAATTATTTGCCAGCAATTCTATCAATCTAACATTTAATAATTATTTTGAAAACATTAAAATAGGGATAAGGTTTGAAAAATAATTATTATTCATCCCTTTAATTTTAATAAAATTCGTGAATGAATATGACTGTTGGTAAGCAATGATTTTAATTGTCAAATCAACATATAAGTCACTATTATAATAATCACTTAAGCAGTGAACATCCATTATTGCTGTGGAATAACTAAGCAATAGGATGGGAAAATAAATAAGGGTTAAAGGATTCGTTTGAATACTGTTTTTAAAAATAATTTTTTAATTTTCAGAAGAAAAAAAATTTGTTTGATAATATCTATTTTATAAAAAAATTTAAAAATTATAACTATTTTTTTTGATTTTAGAATTAAACTTAGAGAATATGTCAAAAAAAAATTATTTTGTGATTTGACTTTTAATTTTATAAAAAAAACATAGAAAACACATTTGACCATTTTGCCTCTCATTAATTAATTAATTAATAATCATTTTGCTCTTTATCCAAAATTATCGACCAATCTGTCTCTCTTTAAACGATTAACTTAAATATTTAGTCGGTTAAGTGGTCAAAATACATAAAAAATGTTGATCCGAAATTTAATCGATTAAATATCCCTCTTAATCGATTAAATTTTGGAATATTAATCAATTAAAAAACTATATTTAATCGAGTAAACCTCGGCAGAAACTCTATATTTTGCCCCTTCTCGATCTCATTTCAAATTACTTGTTTTGTAAACCAAAATCTCTCTTGTTTGTCATCGTAATCCTTGCAATCAAGATTCTATTTCATCCCACCATCTCTAAATCCTTAATTTTGTGAAATCATTGTCATTGCACTTATATATTCCTTTGTTGCCCCCAATATAATATTTGAACCCAAACCCCCAAAATCTGAACGCTAGTCTAAACATTATGTTATAGTGATCTACCACGATGGAGCGTGCAGTACCGAGGGGTCATCCTCAAACAGGTACCCAAATGGGAGGTTCAGGCTCATTGTCTTGTGGTCTTGAAGAAGAAAGCCGGTCTTGTCGTTGCTTCGTGCATCTCTCACCGTCGGTGTTGCTTGATCTTCTGCGGCCCGCCATTATAACAGAATCCCTACAATGACAAAATAATGTATCAACAACCAATAAAACAGAAGATTAAAAAAAAAATCAGAAACATGCATAATTCATCCATAAAAAATAAAACTTAAAAAACCCTAAATTCATCAAAACACATAACTACACAACCATCAAAACATCAAACGACCTTATACATCATGCCAATCGAACAAACCTCCTACCCTTTCGGTCCACACTTCTTAAATACGAAAATAACAACAACAAAAAATGTTTCAAAACGAAGCAAACTCACCATGCAGGATGAAGAAGCTTAAAGTAGACTTGTCTTCGCAATCCACGCGCTTGGACGAAGATTTCTGGAGCTCGATTCGGAGTTGGGGCTTTTATCTCCTCTCTAATCGATTAGGATTTGAAAATAACCCCCTCTGCCAAATGAGGGGTTTTAAAAAACGTTCCTGCCACGTTTTAATCGATTAACTAAATGAGTTAATCGATTAAATATCCCGAAATTTAATTGATTAAGAGGGATATTTAATCGATTAAATTTCTGGTCAACGTTTTTTTATGTATTTTAACCACTTAACTGATTAAATATTCAAGTTAATCGATTAAAGAGGGGCAGGTTGGTTGATAATTTTGCGTAAGAGATAAAATGGTTATTAATTAATTAATGAGAGGCAAAATGAGCAAAATAGAATAACTAAGCAATAGGATGAGAAAATAAATAAGGGTTAAAGGATTTGTCTGAATACTGTTTCTAAAAATAATTTTTTGATTTTCAGAAGAAAAAAAATTGTTTGATAATATCTATTTTATAAAAAAATTTAAGAAATTAATTTTTTTGTTTTTAGAATTAAATTTAGAGAATATGTCAAAATTATTTTTATTTTGTGCTTTGACTTTTAATTTAAAAAAAAAACATAGAAAACATATTTTCTATAACTATTTTATAAAACAATTTTAAGAACAAAAAAAATTAGAACACAATCATAATGTTTATCATGTTATAGGAGAAAATTTTATCTTCTACACACATAAAAATATGTAGTATACATATGAAAAGAAAAAAGAAAATATGGATCCCATAAAAATATGTAAAAAATAAAATTATCTCTATAACATAAGAAATATTAATCCCAAAAAACTAAACGCAAAATGGCCTAGTCACTGCTTAAACAATGCGAAACTACCGCTTAACTATGGTTTGATGGAACTCCATGCATCCTTTAGATTCGATCATGACAAATTGACAACTTCTACGTCTACGAATGTCTTAGAGTTTTAAAAAGTTGTAAAAGAAATTCTCGTAGTTTAAGTTTAGGGTTTATCATCTATCATTTAACATGACCATAAAAATTTTCCTACACACACAACATTTTGTGGGGCCTGCAGCAAAAAAAAAAAAAAAAAAACTTCGGCACGCAAAACGAATCTCTATAACATAACACAATCACTTTTCCTACAACATAACTCTTATAAAACCCTTAAGTTTATCTATTATTTTCATATATTTTTTTAAAGAATAACTGATTAACACTATCTAAATTTCATTAATGAATGTTTATCATTATTATACATAATTTGGCGCTGCCGTTATGGATTTTAGACACTTAATTACAAAATTTCATAATAAGTAGATACTTAATTGAAAATTTAATTAAATTTAAAGGACTTATTAAATAATATAAAAAAATATAAGAAGTTTATTAAAACAATTAAATTATAAAAGTTTATTTAAAAAAATTACTAAAGATTAAAAGAATTTAGAAAATAATTTAACCCAAAACTTAATTATAAGCATCCCCGCGTTCTTTCGTGGGCCCCACTCCCCTGATTCACATATTGGCATATAAATATCCCTTTCTGGTCGCAAGTTCATGCTGTGTGGGTGTGAAAATCTCCATTCCTTTCTATTTCCATTCTTAGCGCTACTTACAGCGTCTCTATTTTCGTTAATTTAGCGCTACTTACAGCATCTCTATTTTCGTTAATTTTTCATCTTGTGAGTAATATATATATTTATGTATGTGTGCCTTCTCATATTTCTGATGCATATATACATGAATAATATCAAGCTAAATTCAGTTATCAAAGTTCCACTTCCGATTCTGCCCACCTCTTCTATCTCTGTGTGCTCTCTAGTTTATATATGCATATAATTACACATGATATATATCTAATACTTGTTAATTTGTTATACGTGTGAGTTGTGATTATTAATTGAACGATATTGATGTTATACTAGCTTGTGTTGAGTCAGTGATTAAGGACGATCGAGAGCGCAGACAAAAAGAAAATGTGGAAGTTAAAGATAGCAGAAGGAGGAAAGGGGTTGATTTCCGTGAACAATTTCATCGGACGTCAACACTGGGAATTCGATCCAAATGCAGGAACTCCACAAGAACGTGCTGAGATAGAAAGGGTGCGCCAGGAATTCACAAAAAATCGATTTTCCATTAAACAAAGCGCGGACCTGTTCATGAGAATGCAGGTAACTATACCTATTCTATTGGCTCTACATATAGGATCTAATATAATACAAGCTAATATTTATTCTAATCTAACGCTATATATGAAAAACTTTCTTTTATGAATTTTGAGTAGGATTAATAAGTTGGTGATAATTTTATCTCATATACTTCCCCCATAGAATCTCACTCATTTAGAGATAAAATTATATTATCTTACCCGAGTCGGACTGAACATAATCGGAGCGAAGTTCCAGAAACCAGTGGAGCTATCCAAAAAAAAAAAAAAAATTATATTTTTCCTGGGAGAAATATTGAACCCATTTTCAATTACATGTTATTACCAGAATAATTTTACTGAAAAAAATATTAACAATCTTTTTAAGTTATAACACAATCAATCTACTTTTTTTATATATAACCTTTTTTAATTGCATGCTTGCTTCTAATGACATTTATCTTTTTGACTTTTCTATCATGAGTCAAAACTCAATATCACATTAAAATAACTTCAAAAAAAGCTTGATTATATTTTTCTATTTTTTTTAAGGTATATATATATATATATATATATATATATATATATATATATATATATGTATATGTATATATATATTTGTTGAATGGTTGTGCCTGATACAAAAGTTTCTCTTTTAATGTATACATTTACATATTTTATTAATTTCTAATTTTAAAACTTGAATTGTAAATTATTATCTATTTAATCTTATCTCTTATTTTTTTTACCAAATATTTTTTTTTGTTAATAATTCTCTTAGTAAAAATATGAATAATTTAAATTTTAATTATAATCTATCTGTTTAATTTATAAGTGACTGTGAATTGTCCAAATTTACAAACTCATTATCAATAAAAAGTAGAAAATACCAAATTAAGTACTGCTCTTTCCCTTTTCCTTGCAATACTGCCAACTGCCATCCACTTCGAAGAAATTACCATATTTGACACTTTTCGAGTAGAATATTTATTTAACATTTTAATTACTAATGAATTGTGCACGTAACTGTCATAAGCGATCACGTCATTGTAAAATTGGATTTGAATTTTTTTCGTGTGTAAAAATGTTTGTTTGGTCATATTATTTGATCATAATCAATTATTTAAAAATTATATATTTTTCCTTTTCTTATTTCATTATCAATATATTATTGTAATCAAATAATATCATCATTTTTTCACACGTGAGGACATCCAAATTCTTCTAAAGCTACATTTGTGGCTATACTCCTAGTTTCCACATGAAGATGAATGGCTGTCAATTGAAGTAATATTAACCACGAGAAATTGTGGTGAAGGCAGCAACCTTCTTCTTATGAATGGAGGCATATTTTATAGTCCAATTCATCCCAAGTTTAAGAGAGTAAATGATCCCACATTTGAGCGAAAATAAGTGTTCTTCAAGTGATTTAAGTGAGTGAGTGACTTGTCTCCTATTTTAAAAGAAAGTAATATTGTTTTCTCCTTCTAATTAAAGAGATTTTTCACTTAATAAATTTTTTTTTTTGCTCTTGCCCGTAAGGCCGTAACTTTTGCTCCTCATATTGAGGAGATTTTCGACGATAAATCTTCTTGTGTCAATTGCTATTATCTCATCTTTATTTTAGTTGTGTGATACTTAAATCTATTAGCAGTGGAATAGATAAAGTTAATTAATATCATGTCTAGAAAAATGGTTCAAAGGTCAAGCTTTGATTTAGTGGCTAACATAGTCATAAATTCCTGACAGTAACGTGGTTCGCGTCTTCCAGCTTAATTATTTTAGACCATTTCTACACAATTAAGACACTCAGATAATTAAAATCTTGTTTTTTTAAAAAAATTGTTACAATTACCTGTCCACATGAGATATCGCGTCTGCCCAATTATAAATAATCTGACCATTTGAGATAGAAACACAAAAAATACCCAGAGAGAAAGTCATGATCATAAAATTTAAAGACTCCTAATATACAAGTATTAAAACATGTATAATTAAAAGAAAAACCAATGAACTTTAAAATTAATTATTATAAAATTATTTTTATATTAGATATGTTAACGGAAGAGCGATCTTAAAATGATACATTTTGCTTGGGTTGTATGAAATACATTTGCATATAGTAAAATTCTAAAAGGTATGAAATGGTGTATAAAAATAGGGGCAGATCATCTATCTTACACCGGTGTAAGAATAATAAGTTTTACACTAGATCTTAACCATTGATTTTCTACATCTAACGGTTAAAATTTATTAGGTCTCACTCATTAATTAATTTTCAATTTCCAATAAATCTCAACCGTTAGATGCACGGAAATCAACGGTTAAGATTTGGTGTAAGATTTATTATTCTTACACCGGTGTAAGTTGATCCTATCCCATAAAAATAATATTTGACGCTTTATTTTAGTAAAATATAATGGGTGAATTGATAAAAATGCTCCTAATATACAAAATAATCATGAAGATTATAAGTAGAATGTTGAAAAAATTGCTTGTAGGTATAGAAAAAGAAGATAATTTCCTAGCAAAAAAAAAAAACAAGTAGTTAAGTATCGAATAATATTAATGGGTCCCGTTTTTCTGCGGCAGCGGCAGAAAAGCAGAATCTTTCTTAGACACAATTTAAAAAAAAAAAAAAAATCAAATTTTCAAGATCTGACATCATATCCTAATAAATATGTATTTGTGGCCGCGGCAAAAATAGGTTTGTCAATATTAATAGCATCTCTCAACCACACAATCTAAGTACAAAAATCAAAGGATAGTAAAAGAAGGAAAATGAAGGTGCGCTTCTAAATCTAATAATCGATAATTGTGTAATTTTATAATTATATTCCCTATTAATATTTAACCTTATGATAAAAAAAAATAGTTAAGATTTGTTGTATTTTGCAAGATCTGAGAAGATCCATTTCCATTAAAATTTCAAATTGTGGTGGTTGAGTATTGACTAATAATCCAGCTCAGAAAAGAGAACAAGTGTGGCCCTATTCCACCAGCAGTGAAAGTGGAAGACGCAGAGAACGTAACTACGGAAGCATTGATTACTACTATTAGAAGGGCTATCACTTTCTATTCCTCAATTCAAGCCCATGATGGCCACTGGCCTGCAGAATCTGCTGGCCCTTTGTTTTTCCTTCAACCTTTGGTGAGCTCCAATTTTAGCCTAATATTTTTTTTATTTTTATTTTTACTACACTGATATTGATTGGTGAGCACTCTACATACATATCGATCTTCGTAATTACCATGTGCACAGGTTATGGCACTCTATATTACAGGATCCCTTCATGTTGTTTTAGGACCAGAACACAAGAAGGAAATTGTTCGTTATTTGTATAATCATCAGGTATTTATTATGCTTTTCGCTTCAGCGTGAATAAGAATCCATTTTATTTTTTTCTGAATAATCAGAGTCAAAGACCCAAAAACACAATTAAACTATGGCACTCTTAACAAATTGAGCGCCCATCAAGCCTGTATTCGGCTCTAGTCAAACATGGGTTTGGGAATACAAAATCAAGTTTACCCATTTCTCAACACATTTAATTCCACGTTAAGTTTTGATTCCAATGGGATTATCAATCTTATGCACAAGCAGCTGGTGGGTTGCTTTTACGTCGGGTTCATAAAATTTATGACAAACTGTATAACATTAATTATATCAAAATCACTTTTTCAAATAAATGTGCTTTAAATCAAGGGTAAAGTGTGTGTCATTTTAAAGGATGTAAAGTTGTGTCATTTTAAGAGAGAGAAAGAGATAGATAAAAAAAGAGAGAGAATTGACAAAAAAAATTAAAGGTGTGGGTCCCACCTCTTTGTGAAAGTGAAAGGATATAAGTTGTGTCATTTAAAAGGATAAACAATTTTTCCTTAAATCAAACATAAACAATTGTGCTTTAAACCACTTGTAACAAACCGCTGGAATTAATATAATTGTAGGAGATTTGGGTAATTTACATTAATCATAAATTCAAATTTCAGTGTCGTATTGAATGATATGGCGTAACTTGGTACCTCCCTGACTGTGTAGCCCCACTCCACCAGAATGGAATTGACCATAAATTAAATGATATTGGTAACGTCTTTAACCAAAATTGGAAAAACATGGGTGAAGGTGATCACGATTCACGACCAAGCCTCACAAAATTTATAGACATGTCCTCATCTACTTATAATCTACAATCTATCTATTTATGTATTATATATAATCTACTACATATATTGAAATTTCTTCCACTATAACAATCACATCTTAGTGATAAATTTTACAACAATCTACAATATTATAATTTTGTTTACAATTAATTAATTGCACTTTTAAATTATTTTAATGTTCTTTAGGCTATTTATTCTTCAACTTTTCATTTTCCATGGCTTTCTCTCTCCCCCCTCCCTCTCCTCTTTCTTTTTTTAGTGTTAGTTATTGCCCTTCATATTTTTCTGTGTTATAGTTGTCATTTCCCCTCTCTTTGAAAAAGAAGGAATGACTGAGAGCATATTTGATAGAAGAGAAAAAAAAATTTCAGAGAAATACAATAACTAAAAATATAACGGGAAATTGAGTTTGATAGAAAACTTAAAAAAAAATTATTTGGTAGGCTGAAATATTATCGAAAAAATTGGATTAAATTTCCTGAATCTATGCTTGGTTGAAGATAAAATATTGATGAGAAAATAGATTGAAATTACGAAACAATAGGCTGAAATATTATCGAAAAAATTGGATTAAATTTTTTGAATCTATGCTTGGTTGAAGATAAAATATTGATGAAAATGGATTGAAATTACGAAACAACCCTTATAATTTTTTATAATCACTTTACATGATGGGATGGTCATTTTCGTCTGGGAATTGATGTCCATTTCTTCACTTAGCCGGTAATCCCAAAATATCACATTAGAAGTGATATTTTGAAACAGTAATTTTCATCACAAAATGCACACAAATGACAAATCCTAGGCAACTTATTTTACTGGATTAATTTTTTTCAAATTTGTACCAAACATGGTATCATTAAATGGAGTAGGATATTGTAACAACCAATTAGTGTTACTACCAATCAATTTTACCATTAGATCGATTATGTTGATCCAACGGTTATATTTATTTCCATCTTTTTATGGTTGTGAATTCTCATATTTAATGTGAAAACATTAAATATAGAAAATCATAACTATACAAAGGTGAAAACAAATATAAAATATTAAATATAGGGAATCATAACCATACAAAGTTAGAACTAAATATAACTGTTAGATCAACATAATCGATCTAATGATTAAATTGATTGATAATAACATTGATAATAATACTAATTAATTGTTATAATATCCCCCTCTTATTAAATACCCACCCTCTTTTCCGACAATCCCAAAAGAAAATTCTTTACCAAACACCCTAATGTATTATGGTGAGTAAGAAGTCAAATTGGTCCTTGAAACATGTGATTGGTCGTATTGGTTCCTCAAGGAAATTGTCTCCCCCTTGAAAGTGTCGTGTGTGGATGAGTGGATCAATCTCGTCCCTTTGTCTGTAGGCCTCAGTTTCACATAAATGCACATGTGACATGTTAAGTGTTTTGCAAGCATAATTCATATGACTCCTCTGTCACATTCTCAATTCTCATAAATATCTCCACCACCTAATTACTTGCAACATAAAACTCATATATACATATATATATATATATATATCAAAATAAGTTATATTCATTAAAATATTATCACTTATTAAAAAATATATATATGAATATAACTTATTTTGATATATATATATATATATATATATATACTGCCAAAAACTTTCTACAGATATCTTACATCGCCCTCCTCCAATTTAAAGACCCTAATTCGCTCCTTCAGACCAAGGATTGAAAAATTAATCCAATTATTATGGTTTGTTTAAATATGTTATCTCAAATCATCAAGTAGCAATAGGCCACTTGAGTTGGCTTTGCCTTTAATGGAGAAGAGAAGAGTTTGCAGAAGCGAATGACAAAGCAAGCCAATAGCCAACATCCCTTCTTTACTATTCTTGTGATCCTTCCAGATTACCTCATCACATTTTCTCATATCTATCATGTAGTTAGCGTTGGGGGAGTACGAAAACCACGTCGTCTAGGAGGAAGAAGAAAATCCTTCATACCACTGCATATTGCACTTTTACTATGGCTTTCTTTCTTTCATAAACTAATATGACTGACCCCTATCTTTTATGGACCAATTTGACTATTTAATTTTTATGGACCAATTTGACTATTTAATCGTATTAAATATAGGAAAATATTTTTCTCATTTCAGTAGAGATAGTTATCTCATGTTTTACACTCATCGAATTTTGTGCCAATTTTTCCCATTTCTTTTTTTTTTGTTTGTTTTAAAGTGTGGACTCCACATATTTATCTCACACACATAATAGAACTATTTCAAACACATAAGATTAATAACTCCCTAACAAATATGCTATGTTTGGTTAGTTTGGGTAGAAATTAATTTTTGCATTGTAGGTCATTAGTCCACTATCAATATTTATCCAGTTGGTTACAACTTACAACCACACAGTTGTCTCTATGTTAAGAGTGGATTTTTGGTATAACGAGAGTAATTATTCTGTTAAAAAAATAGAAAAAAAGAGGAATATAGCAGAAAATAACTAAAGATAATAATAATATAAGGATTTAGTATGTGTCCTTTTAAATGATGTAAATTGTATTCTTTTAATTTTTTACTCTATGTACTACCGGTAGTATATAGTTTAACATGAAAAGTTATTTTTTTTCACTTTTCATATCAGCTGATATGAATGAGGAGAGAGAAAATAAAAAATAACTTTTCATATTATAATTATGTACTACCGAAGTATATAGAGTAAAAAAACTAAAAGAACACAATTTACCTTCTTTAGCACAAATAATTTTCCTATGATATAAATATTTTTTTTCATATTGAATAAAAAATATATATCGAGTAGTCCATATATCTGAAATTATTTTCCTATACTAATTTATATAAGTCACATCAATTGCCTTGTGTACTCATTCTTTTTATGGTTACGCATACTTAGAGGTGGCAAAGTGGGCGGCCCGCCCCACACCGCCCCGCCATCAACCTATTAAAAAATGAGTCAACCCGTCCCGTTTGACGGGTTTGGTGGGTTGGCCCGTCAGCCCGAGTCTATTTTACATTGACCCGCATCGGCTCGCCAAAAAATGAGCCCGCCCCGCTCCACTTTTAAGATGGGTTAAAAAATTCAACACGCCCCGCCCCATTTGACGGATTGAGCGAATTGACCCGCCGAGCCGACCCGTTTTGCCGGCATACGTTTCTTCCAGTCTTTAATTTCTCGTATTCTGTTTTCATTTTAATGCATTCTGCTTTGTCCAATTCCTCTCATTTAGTTTTATTTATTCTTGTCTTTTTTCTGTTTATCTACCTATTTATAAAATATAAAAGCTATACATTATTTGCTATGAAGTTGTAATTTCAACGTACAAAATTTGAGTACCCTCTCTGACCCGACAATCTAAAATAATCTTGTTTATTTACCCACGCATGGTTGAGCTTAAGATTAGTTTATCTAACAAAGTATCAGGCTTTTCTTTATAACTACTTTGAAATTTATGACCTATATAAAAACTAAATGATTAAAAGTATATAATATTATAATTTGTATCTTTAAATTATATAATTCTTTGGTTATTTATCAACACATGTTGTAAAGTTAGAACAAAAATAATAATAATAAATGTATACGGTAAATGAGTAGTACTAAAACTTCTTTAGATAATTAATACAGAAAAGTACATTTATTTTAGGTTTCACCCATTTAAAAATATTTCATTTTAAAAACTTGGATTTTAAATATACTTTTCGGAATTTAATTTTATTAATTGAAATACCACATGTATGAATTTAAATTCTTTTTTAAAAAATACACCTACTACTGTCAATTTAACTAACTTTCAAACACTTTAACTTTATTGTTTTTTAATCATTTTTAAATATTTATTTAATCCAATAAAAAAATTATCAATTAACTTATTTTTATTGGATCACAACCAATGTTATTAAACCCGGACCGGTGATCGACCCGGTCGGAGTACCGGGTCAGTGGGTCACTGGTTCAACCGCATGAACCGGACATGTATATAAATTTATATTTTATACTTAATTATATAATATATATTTTAAATAGTGCAAGAGAACCAAGAAATAAATATAGCTTAGTGGTAAATACTATAATTTTTATCTTCACAACAAGGGTTTGATTCCCACTATATGTAATTTTTAAATAATTTTATTAAATGATATGTTATATATATTAAATGGTGCATATTAACCAAA